TGCTACAGCAGAGCTGGCAGCAGGCTTTTGTGTCAGGACCTTCTTGGCACAATCACCTCCAAGTGCTCCATCCCTCTAATGATTTTGATTGCCTCTCTCTGCATCTTTTCTAATTTCACGATGTACTTTTGACGAGAGCTACACAGCCTACTTGAGATGCAGCATCAAGTGGGAATTTGGTCAGAGTGAAAAAGGGAGCTGACTTAACAGCTTTGTGAAGTAAAGTAGTTGTAAATAAGCATGTGCGAATGTGAATGCGCTAATACATTTGTCAGAGCTTGCTTCTCTCCTGTTGTTGCAACCACTGCAACAGAGCATGTTTTTTTGGATTGGTAAGGTATACCTTCTGATCATGAGCTGTACAATCCTAATGACCAAACAAACCAAACTGGGTCAGTTTAATCCCTTGAGCTCTTCTCAGACAGGCTTCCTGATTACAAAAAATAAGTAGGGCAGCACCTCTTCACTACGAAAAAGACAGAGGAGTCATAAATGAGCATACAGAAGCCATAGGCTAAACTGTCTTATTAAAATGTGGTAAGCCTGGCTAACATGCATTATCAAGCACAGCCATCCCCCAGTGGCCTCAGGCGTCCTGGAAAAGGGATGCCAGTGGGCTTCTCCTCCCACGGTGCTCCCCACCTCCCCTCGCCAACACCCGTCTGAGGGTACAGGCAGGGCTTCAGTACAGCTAGAGGGACAGACCCAGATGGCAGTCAGACACACCAACCCTGTGGTGAGGCAACCTAACTACAACTGCCACCAGGCAACTACAAGAGAATACCCAAAACAAAACCTTTTTTATTTTTTTCCCCTTCTGGCATGGCAGTCTATATTTTGTGAAAAACTGGTGATTTGCAGGGCAAGCAGACAGGTTTTTTTTGGTCAAAAACACAATCTTTTTTCAAAAAGTGGGTTTTAGTGAAGAACATTTGACCAAACCTTCTTCCAAGTTCCTGCTCATAAAGCCTGTCTCTCTCTCATTGCCCCTGGACTCACATATGCCAGAGACTTGTGACTTGGAGCCACCTCTCACACTGCTTTCTAGCTTTGGTCTTGTCAGCAGAGAGGAACAGAGATATGCAAAGAGAGAGAGTAGACAGAAAAATAGAACCCTTTAAAAAGAAAAAACAAATAATGAATCCACACAGGCAACTTAGAAATGAATTACTATAAAATGATACTGACAGATGTCCTCAGAAATAGCCCATGGTGGGGAACTGGCTAGTCGTACAGAGCTGGCTCTCCTTAGTCCCAACTATTGAGCTGTTTTGAAGCTAAAATTGCATGAAATATTTTCCTAACTTTACTTTTCCGTGTATATAATAACTATCCACACCACAAGTGTGTTTCACAATTGCAAAATGGGAAGAGGAGATATACACAAGACACTCTGTATTAAAATGTGATTCATGCTATGAAAAACAAATGAGAACCCTGGATCTGACCTAGTTGTGAAGTAATTTCAAGTGATAATAAGACACCAATGATGAATTTGTTAAATCTGGAGTACATGTGGAACTCATCTGAAGCCTAGAGCCCCAAAATAAATACACTAATTTCAAAAGTGATGCAATGTGACATTTGGCCCATAAGCAACTTGCAGAGGACAGTCTAGCCTGCAATTATATTTTTTGTAGACATAAGTTTGGGAAATTTTTAATGCATATTAATATTTCTTGTTTACATATTTGTTCAGTGAGACAGCATTCTCTTCCCCAGTTTAGAGACAGCAGAAGCCACACTGCTGGGTATAGTAAAGTATCTACCCTGTGTAGATGACACATAGTGTATGAGTCTTTTAGCTCAGAATAAAGACAAAGGCAAAAGCCTGGCTTTATGCACATGATAATTATTATGAATCAATCTAACATTTCTAATATCATGTTCAAAAAATGGCTCAGTCCAATCTGTACTATACTTGCATTGTCAATATGTCCATAACAGGCCTAAAGCAGTTAATCATCTGAAATCTTTTCCAGCACTGCATTTCTATGATTTCATCCCACCAAGTATGTGCTGCCTTGTTCTGAATCAAGCTCCAATGTGCCCAGCATGTCCTTCATAGATTCTGTCTAATCTCTTCTTGAAAGACCTCAGTGACAGCAATTCGGCTACTTCCCAACAAAGCCTGTTCCAAAATCTAAGCCTTCTGGATATGTCTACACAGTATCTCTGTTTTACATCTACTACATATTTTGTATTTATAGTTCTTTGTAGTTCTTTGCAATATTCATTACTTGTTTTTATGGACATGATTTTGCAATAATTTAGCCCATTCTCTTACACTGAGTTCTGCCTATTCACTGGGTAATGAACTTATGGCTCTAAGATGGACTTTTTTATCCTGTTCCCAGAGCTAGGAGCATACAAGTCGGGAGCAGAGATGCTGAGCTTTGAAGGACTCTGGTGGACCTGGACATATGTGCTTCTGGTCAATGAGACTCATCTATACATAAAAGTTATTTCAGAAGAAGGTAGAGCTTGAACCAAAATTATTCTCGGATAACTCTTTGACTAGGCAAACCTTTGGTGGCTAAAATAGAATATCAGTTTGCATCAGTTAGTTTTCAAGAGGAGGAAAGCTAGATGCATCCTCCTCATCATCAACAATATAATTTACTGTCAGTCTGCTTGCTGCCAGTTCTGTTTCTAAAAGGTTTTAACTTTATATAACTCAAGAACATTTGTCTGATTAAGTTAACAGAAACTTTGGTCTCATTGTGTAGCCAGCAGCTGAAATACATGAATATTGCCATATAACATAGATAATGTCTAAAGTTGAACCATTTTCTATTCCTTAGTTTTTACTTTGTCTCCACAGCATTGCTTCTTTTCTTTCCCATAGCCTAATATTAAAGGTAAGAGTTAAGCTGTCCTTTTATGCCAAACACTGACAATTTGTCAATAAAGGAGGAGGAACACAGATTTACTAGGGAGGCAGATGACAGACTCTAAAGTAGTCTGACAATAAAAGAAGAAAATTCTAAATTTTCAAGGACTTTTTGGAAAGTTATTTTAGATGGCCCAATGCAAAGAGAAATCAGGAAGCAGGAGGCATATGTTGCATTGCAGACATTCACAGCACAAGGCAAGACAACAACCTAAGGGCAATGAGAAGATTTTTATACTGCTGAAGTGATTCACAAGTCCTCCAGTAAAATATTCCATGTCAGGACAAGAGCCTGACTTGTTGGCCTCTGCTGATTCATACTCTTTCAAGTTAACACTGAAGACAAAACAATTGAAAACAAAGTTTTGACAGGTAATTAGATGTAAACCTATGACTGTCTGGCCAAAACCTCATGCAACTCTTACTAAAAAAAAATAAATAAAAATAAATTACTCCCTTGCATTTACCTTTCTCTCTGCAAATAATAATACTGCTGAGACTTAAATTCTAGATAAGCTTGTGGAAGGGTTTTCAGACTAAATTCACCTTTTTTGGATATTCAAATGCATGATATGTAATGAACGTGGGACCTACCTACACTAAAACTCTCAGGAAAAAAAAAAAAGTCCATTTAATCTTAATTAAGTAACTTATAGCAATCATTTTCTTATGAGTGCTTTTCGGAAATTAAAACCTGTCTGAAAGAAATGTTTCTATTGATTTCATAAATCAGGAGACACTTTAACTTTAACATCATCTCTGAAGACTTGCCATGCCTGTAATCAGCCCTTGTCAGTAAAAAAAAAAAAAATTCCCTGCCCACAGATACTTGATAAACACAGCCATTATAAATATGCAGTTCTATATTTACAAAGAACTTCACACAAGACAAGTATTGTGTTGCTCCATCACCCCATGAAAATTTCTCTGTTCTGGAAACATTAATATTTCCTTCCTATAAAGAATATCTCAGAACAAATTATAATTCCAGTCCAGATGAAGTTTCAGAACAACCAGATTTAGCACTAAAAGGGCTGAGGAAAGGCAAACAGTATGTTTCACCCTCATCTATATCAAGTCTTTTTTATTGTAATTTAGTATTGTACAAAAAAAACAAAGAATTTAAAAATCTGATGTGCAAATTATATTTCCATCCATACAAAGACCACTTTACTTTGCCAGAAGAGTACAAAGAAGACCAGGTAAATGAAAAGTAGCCCAGCATTTATATATGAAGTCTATCTCCTTTTTTCTTGTCAACAGGATGAAGCTTCTAAATAATACCGCAAGACACATTTTTATAACACAAAGCCCACGTGCATGCCTGTCTCTACATAGTTGTTTGCATTTCTATTATTATGACATATACAGGGGTAAGAGTCAACATCTCACATGCAAACATCATCCTCACATCCTCAATTACAGGGATGTATGTTTAAAAACTGGCCTGGGCTCAGTATTACTCTCTGGATCTCCACAATTACTACACCAGAACTGCAAGCCGCGTCTCAAGGTCACCACTCTAAACCACTTCACTGCGTAACATCCCCACAGCTACCAACATACCAAAGACCCCACCGAGAGGGTGCAAAGAGGCTCACATTAGTTTAAATTTCATAGGCGTTTTCTGCAAGATCTGCAGACCCGTTGTGAAGTCCAGAAAGCACAGAGTGCCCTGAAGCAGGACAACTACCTAGCAATGTGCACTACCCTCCCAATGGGATGGGATTATCCCCTCCCAACACAACCTCTTGCAGGAGGCCCACTGGAGCAGGACTCGAGCTGCCCTGTCCACACTGGGACTCCTCACAGTGCTTCCTTCTGCCTCACAGGCACAGCCACCACGAGGTGGACGGACTTTGCACGTGTCTAATAAGTCAACATTATGATGGGAAAAGTTCACCCAATGCCAAGAGCTCCAGCAAAACTGTATAACACTTCATTTGTGTGCTAAAAGCTCATCAGGGATTTAAATGAATTAAATCCTTGTGCACAAGAGAAAGTTAACTCTTGCTGAGGAAACATTTTTTATCAGTAGGGCAGAATTAGATAGGATATAGTTCTTTGAGTGCAGTTTCATATGAATGAAAATAAATGACTGACATACCATGTCTCTGAAAGTTTCTTTTTCATAATTTATTTCTTCTCTTTTGTTTTATGAGCACACAGTGCCACCAGGGTCTTCTTTTTCTTCTGGGTAGCAAAACCAAAGATAAATTCTAAAAACAGAAGAGATAAATAATATTTCAGAACACTTAAATTCAAGGCTCTCTCTCTGGTTTGACTTGAAACAAACAAATAAATAAATAATAATAATAAACTTGTTACGAAGTACAGTAAAAGTTTGCCAAGTCTCTTTAATGACCCAGAAACTGATTATGATGTACTGAATTTTGCAAGTTTGTAAATCTGCCCACATGCACGACCACAAAACAAAGTGTTAGGACTGCTACCAACAGGATTTTTGTGCAAAATTACTTAGATCCCATGGCAGAGTGATTCCTAGGGAAATTTTTTGGTGGCTAACTGGATGACACCAACAGCATATAAATCAATTATTTGTAGACACCACCAGATGCTCCTTCAGCGGAAGATTTCTGCCAGGCATGCTGCAGAGGACTCCACTGTCACCCTCGGCTCTCAGAAAACCATGGTGAGACCAGAGGGCTGCCACCTCCTCTCACCTCTGTACTCATCAGTATAATTGTGTATGAAAATAATTGTCTTTGTATGCTCCCTTATGGAACAGAGCAGGACAAAGTCAGGAAAGTTGCTCTCAGACATATCATCCTTGTTTTTCATTAGCACAAGACATAAGCAGGACCTAACCCAAAGTCATCACAAGCCAACTGATATCCATCCACTCAGTTCCCTGGGCTTTTGAGTGGGACTGAAGACAGAGTAGCACAAAACACAGCACCATTACTTTTCACACACCAGTACACCTACAAGAGGTCACAACTCTTTTAAAGACACTCTTGCTGTGTCTACCAAAACCAAGGGGTCTTAACCATAAGATAGGACTGAATTTGGAGGGAAACCAGTTGGAAAACGAAATTATATTTGCTATTGAAAATCCATCTTTGCTAACCAAGTTTTTCTTGCTTTCTTATTTAAGTGTTTTGTGTTTCCCTTGTCAGGAAGCACCAGACCTTGGGAACGGACATGCCCTTGGGTAGGCTCATGATTTGTGATGTTATTTCTGCAGCCTCTGCAGGTCTTCTTGACAAATTTCTGTCTGAATTGCACTCCTTTCTAAAAGAAATACGCTTCTAAGTCAGTCAGGGTTTACAAATATCTCACCAAGTCAAGTGAAGTCCAAGTGGGTGAAAGGCAGTTTTATTTTCCTGCTATGAATTTTTCAATCACACCTATTTTTATGTTAGCAGGGGAAACTGCTGTGATTTAATAACTACAAGCCATTTAACAAACATGAACTCAAACAAGCACTTGTAAAGAATAAAAACAAATGCTTCACTCCAAAAGGTATGTTTTCCTTTCAAACATGTCTTCCGTTAGAATAGAAACATAAATTTAACTGATTTTTACATGATTTTATTTTTTTTTTTTTAACAAAAAGTTATTCCCTCCCCCCCATCCCAGATGGCTAGATGTTGACTCAGTGCAAGGAACTTGGGAGGTTATACAAACAAGAACCTAGTTTGACAATCCATTATAACTTGGCTAATACCCCTCTGTTGCCAATAACCAAGTCTCTGCTAACACTTTCATTCCTTTCTTTCTTATTTTTTGCTGAGTACATTGCGCTCTGCTCAGCTGAATCACCAGAACTTCTTTTCTTTTCTTTCAACAGGGCCCTTTCTTTTACAGCCTCTTATGGGAAAAATACTTACTTCTCAAATGCAGCACTTGAAGGGGTTTGCTTCTTGCAGGTGAATTTGCAGAAATGTCGATTTTAACAGCGGTGGCAGGCATGGTTTTCCCTCTGCTCCCCCACTTCCAAATGGCAGTACCGAGCAGGGAACTGGTGCCCAGCTGTGGCACCCAGCTCCGCACGTCTGCTCCCCAGCACTGCTTGATCAAAAATCCCAAACTGCAAGCTGATTTTGACAGAGATGCCAAAGTCCTGAGTCTGCCTTATACATAGTGCCTCAGTCGTAGCGGAAAACCTCCAAACAAAACAATCCTGCTAATTCAGACTTCCTCATAGGCTTCTTTATGGAGACCTGAAATACAATTTTTAAAGAGGTATTGTTGTGTTGTTTTATTGTTTTTGTTTTTACTTATTATTATTTTTGGTTTACAGGGAGGGGGGCACAGCATCAGCCTGCTGGCTCACCTTCTCCAGAACCTGAATCCAGGTTCTCCTGGGGGAAGCCTTGGGATCCCATCCAAACCCGTGGCAGCACAGCAAAACAGTCCAGCCATTGATTCACAAGCCGCATGGCCTCGTATGGAGAACACACAGTTCCACGCTGGCACCTGCCTGTCAGTCTAGGTGGCTCTGGAGAGGCTTTGGCACGGCTGCCCCACGCAAAGGACAAGTTCCCAGGGTCTGCCACCCCAGGAGCCGCGTCTGCAAAGGAGCCCGCCGGGGCGCTCCAGCCCAGCAAAATCCAGCTTTGTGGTCTGGAAACCTCCAGAACAGGCTCTCTAAACATATGGTGTTATTTTCACGGCACTTGACATTCTTCTAGGATAGTTCAAATGGTACATTCATGTTCCCAAAATTATGTCACTGCTTTCTGCATTTAATGGCTATAGTTAATCATCGCTCACAGCTCTCCCCTGTTCCTCTTCCCCTGTGAGAACACCGCGAGACGCCTCCAGCTGTGCATACTTCACCCAGGGCTGCTTTGCACACTTTCTTTGCTCCCACTCTTGTGTCATCCCACGGGGCTTGGGACTCATGAAAAAACATGCAGTGGTGGGGGCACATGAGCCCTGCACCTGCCAGGCAATGCATTCCCCCATGCCAATCTCCAAAGCGTGTCAGAGCTGTGCATCTATCAGCGTGCCTCATCTCATGCTGGGCTAAGGTAAGTAAAGCTTGGCAGGTTTGCATTTCCCCGCAGAGTATTGCTACTGCAGGCGGGAGTCCCTCCCAAGCTGATGAATGATGACTTCTCCCGGCTGGGATCTCTTTGATGGAGCAGAGCAGGACTGAATAAATAAACTCGCCTCTGTGGGAATCAAAACACTTCTGAAGATTTTGTAAGCTGAATACAGGAGCAATGGTAACATTTTGAAGAGATCCTAGATGTCCAATGGAGGAGCTTTATTTATCGGAGAAGTGGCTTAGGAGCTCTGAAGCTTATTCCTACCAAAGCCCTCAGATGTACAGTCTTAAATTCCTTAAATCCCTACAGTCCAAATGGCAGGAGGGGCAGCTCCCAGACACACCGGTGGTGCTGGGGACCACACTCCATGGGGCTATCAGCCTGACGGGATATGCTCCTAACTGCATGGGCAGAGCAAGTGCAACTTCTGCTGCAAAATAAACCAAAAAGGACCTACCTTGTGAGGCACCTCTGGCACCGTGGAGAAGGAGAAGGGTCCAGCTTTGGATGGTGAGAGCATCCTAAAGGGTAAAGAAAGCAGTGGTGGAGCCAAGTGGTCAGGGAGCCAGGAGACGTGGAGGGAGCCAGAGGAGAAAGCAGCATCCAACTCAGCAAATCCCTTAAGCATGTGTTTAAGTGCTTTGCTAAATCAGGACCGCAGGGTGTCCACACGGATGGCCCTGGCTATCTCGGGCTATCTGCTACCACCCCACGAGGGCAAGAGGGGCAGCTCGGTGCCCTACAGCGACGGGTGGCGGCAGGTGAAGACAGCGTGGGGATGTGAGCAGAGCCCACAGCCTGCTGTAGCAGAGATGGTCTGCATCCAGAGGGCTGGTCCTCAGAGCAGTTCACTTCTGTGGGCAGTCACATTGAGTTATTACCGTGCGGTATCTTTTCCCTTTTGCCATGTATTTTGTGTGTGTGTGTGTGTGTGTTTTTTTTTTCCTTCCACCCCCCAAGGTTGTTTATTTCAAATTTCCCATCTCCACTGTCGATGGTGGAAAAGCCGTAGCCTACATGTGTTGTGCAGATCCCTGGGCCCACCTCCCCCCTCCAAGGGTTTCAACAACAACTGGTTGTTTTCTGTACAGCAAGAGGGATTACAGCCCTGTGGTATCTTTCCGCATTCTTTGAAATCTTCCCCTCTCTCAGGGGAAGAATCTGTTTCTGATGTTAATGTGGTGCTACGTGTTTGTAAAGCATTCTGGTCCTGCCTGCTGTCACCACAACAAGATGATAAATTAAGAGTTTAATTTCAGTTTAATTTGCACATGCAGATTAACAAAGGCAGAGGACAGGGCAGGGAAGGACAACTGCAACACTAATATCTCTGCCTCACTCGCTTCACTCGTGTGTGTCTCTGGGGGCTGTAATTGCTTTGTCCTAGTGTTGATACACAAAAAGCAAGAAAATTGAAGATTTAGTAGAGTCGGTATTATTTTGACCCAGATATTATGGAAGGAGAGAGTTTAGGGAAGACTTCTTGGCAGCAGAGCTAATGCAAATCCTTCCCATTGGCTTTAAGTTTCTCCCCTTCACTCAGTGCTGCAGAAAGCACCATGTGCTGCCTTTCTGAGGTACGCCCCTCAACCTCATTGCTGAAGGGTGGTAGATAAACAGCTACCCCAGTGCTGAGTGGATGGGAACACAGATGTCAGCAGGCCCTCACAACGTGGGCATGAGCCCTCCCAGTGTGCTCAGAAGGAGACAACCCTGCTGTTGCTGAAAGCACACTGGTCTCCAGCCCCACAGCCCATGGGGAGCTGGGAGGACACTATACCAGCCATGGTCACACTCACGGTTTCCACGTGGAGAGGTGGCCTCATGGTTCTTCTCAGGCATGACCTTTGTGGAGGCGAGCCAGACTGAGGCCTTGTGGTGACTCCTTTTGAAAGCAGCTCTGTGTGTCCACTTGCCACACAGAGGAGACCCCAGTCCCAGGTCTACAGCAGAGAGGAACAAAAGGGTGTGAGGAAGAAGAGGAAGGGCTCTGACAGCAGAAGGTGCAAGGCAGCCCGTAAGACCTTAGGAGACAGGGTTGCCTGAGCCCTCCTCCAGGTTTCATCCCCAGAGTGGTGGCTTTGGCTCTTCCCCTTTCCCACCAGACAAGGTGGTTGGGATGCTCCTCAGCTTGGGTGGAAGCAGAACACGGCAGCCAGGTGCTGAGCTGCTGTGTAGGCCCCACACCACACCTCTTAGAAGGAAGAGATGAGGCCAGATAATGTTGTAAAGAAAAGGACCAGAACAGAGACCCCTCGGATCTCAGCACGACAGCTTAAATGGACCAAAGTGTTAAAAATGGAGGAGCCACGTCTTGGTTGCAATGTATAAAAACTGTGCTAGGCATCAGGAACTTTTCAAAGAGTGTTAATTTATAGATGCTTTTCTAAGGAGGACAAGTGAGTATATTACTTTTCTTTTAAAGTGCAGCTGAAACAGCAAACCACACACACACTGTAGGTTTTATAACCTTGCTAATTTTCCATAAGTCTTGGGAGCTATTGGTGGTAACTATAAAGCTATTTTGTTTCAAGTGAAGAAGAAAAAGAAAATTAAAAACAAAAGGGTTTGTTTTCAGAGAACAACTAATAGCTGAAATAAAGAGGTATCGACTGATCTCCACAGAACGGCCAGCAATAGCAGGGAGATTATTGTATATAATTTACTCAGCATTCAGCTCAATGAATTGGATTTTTAATCTTACTCCCATCCATATCAATGGGAATACTGGACACAAAGTGTGCAGGGACAAATGACAACCTAAGGAAATGCCAGATGAATCAGTAACCATTTTGGCTGCATGCAGAAAATCTGTAGCCATCAGAAGAAAGATCCTGGAAGTATTGCACTGGATGAGGTACTTGCATGGAGAGGAATCAACTCCCAGCTCTGCAACACATTTCCTTCCTTTCATATTCCTAGTTGTAACACAGGCAGCTACAATATAAGTTAGTGAGGTGTGCGGGAAATTCAGATACTGCTCTATGGAGGAGCATGTAGATACCTAGACTTAAATCCTCATCTTCTGTTCCCATCACCACCTAAAGCACCTACCAGCCATTTTATTTTGTGCCAGCTCTCAAGGCTTGGAATGATGGTTTTGTCCCACAGGAGAGGAAAACAAAGTTTGGCATGGCATCATGCCAAAATTGCTCAGCATCAGGGTACAGCATAGAAGACTTTAGTCCATGTTCCAGTTTTACCAGCAGTAGAGGAAGCTTTTGATTTGAGTCGAGAAGAGCAGAGCTCTGACTGCAGGTTTGCATAACTACCTGTACAAAAGGGGTGGAAGCAGCTTTCTCTGCAACTGAAACATTTGCAGGGGGCATAAAATGAAGATATTCTGACCAAGTTCTAACCACAGTCTACATCATTTAAGAAAATATTTTAGCTGTACCTTAACATGAGACAGGAGGGGAAGACTGCACAGAAAGGTTTAGATTTACCTTTAACAGACTGAAAATGGAACTGAAGATTTTCTCTCTTCCACTTCTCTGCACTTTTGTTTTTGCGCAATGGCTTCAGAAAAAAAAAAAAAAAAAATTAAAATTAAAATTAAAAAATCACTGTCAAACCCCTATGGAGGTCCAAAATGCTGTTCATGTTCCAAAATCACTGGGAGAGCTCACATAATAAAATATTTGTTGGAAAGGCACCAGGGCATATTAAGTATAGAGAGGCAGCCTTAACTCTCACTTTCCATACTTTCATTTGCCTGAGTCAGAACCTTAATGTTATTTGAACTATACCCATATTTTGGATTTAATGTAAAGCATTTCTTCACCTACACAACACCATTTTTTTTTTAGTCCCACGTGTTATTATCTCATTAGTTGAGTTATTTTAGCTTCACTTAGCTTGCAGGTGATATTGCCAATTTGCTACCTAGTCATAAAACTATGTATCCTTTTATTGTCATTGGAGTTTTACAAAATATGTGCTAATACTATTATCCCAAGATATATTTTACTAGCTGAAGAGTACATAATTAAGCATTTCATTACCATAATAAAAATGAAATTGTATGAAGAGAAAATTGTAGATTTGTGTATGCTATTCTCATTTTGTGCAATGTTATTCTAAATTTCATTTGCTTCTGATTCTATATATAACCTGATTAGCAAACATCACATGAGAGACTTAAAACTAAATGGTCTGGAAATGGGAAAAGGAGTTAAGTTAGTTCATAATGGCACCCACAGATCTGCCAAAACAGTTTTTAAACTGCTCCCGACCAAGCTATAAAAATCTGTGGCTAGCTATACTCATCAGCACAAAGGCAGCGATATCATCAGCTTGTTAATATATCTTCCTTTTTAGGGCTACCAGCAGTCAAGAAGAAGATTCAGTTTGTTGGTTTTGTTCCATAAATATTTGTTAGGAAAAGCACCCAGCAGAATGAGGGAAGAACATTAATATCCAGGAATGAGTCCATGAAACAGCACCAACAAAAACAGAGGTTATACTCTGTTTTGTCCTTAAACCAAGTGATCACCCTCTGGCTCACAGAGAAAACACAACCCATGAAATGAGAGTCCCAGTAAAGCTCTTGAAAACATTCTGCTTTCTACCCTGTCTTAAAAGACACCAGAATTTCCATCTTTATACATTTCCCCTACTTCTTATTTAGGTAATACTTCGTGTAAGTATTCCTTGTAAAACATGTTGATACTGAGGTATTTCAAATAAATATGCTCGTTTTATTACATGCTAAGATTTGTTAAATTATTATTGTTGTTCAGAGCCCAAGAGTTAAAGAGCCCAAGAGTTTCAGGTGAGTTTAGCATAAAAACTTAGCATACACAAAAAGAAGGTCAGAAAGATGCATGATAAAAGTCGAGAATGCTGACTGGAAGCTGTATCATTCACTGAATTCACAGAAAACTAATATTCTTGTTAAACTTTTAGAAGTGAAAACTAGTATTCTTGAGGTAGTGCAGCTCATGACTCATGTTGGCTACTTCCTGCCCTTCATGTCGAACATGGAAAGCTTTCTGAACTTTATATTCCCTCCATCTGAAACAGAGTGCTGCTGTGGCACACATGAAATAGGTTTCCTAGTCTACAGCATTTACTTTATATTCAAAAAATACTGGTTGATAAAAGAGGACAACATAACATCAGGTGAGATGTCAAGTAACAAATTTGCTATATTACTTCATAGAGAAGACTTTCTGTGTGCACATTGCTGAATTTTCAATCACAGTTAATTTACTTAATAGGACTGTTGAAACAATATGCAAAAACACATTAGCTCCTTTGACTCTGTGTGGGATATACAGACAAATGACTCTTTGCCCCAGCCACGTGAAAAGAGACAGTGAGACTGAGCCATGGTGACTGAATTCAGCAAAAATCCAAGTAAAATCAAGAAGAAAATATCTTGCAGTGTTGGAGTGTAATGGGGGAGGGAGCTTTAAAATAATTCAAAAAGATAGACCATATATTATTGGTCTTAAAAAATGTGAGGTCAGTCTGCCAACTCAGCTTTGCTGAACAGTAACTGATAAAACAGGGACTTCAAATAAGCAGCTACTAACTTCTGGAGTTAAGTACTGCTCTAATGTACCTTTCTGTACATACACTGGAGAGCATTTCAGTGAAGATACCCACAGCTGTACACAGCACCCCTATTTCCAAACAAAAAACAAAAAGGACAATTACGGGGCTTTTCTTCTCCTTCAACCAGAGATACACATCTCCCAGCTAGCACCCCTGTGGCTCACAGGAAAACATTAACAACTGACATAACTCTGCTCCCAAACAAGTGCTGTTACACCAGTGCCATCATCTCCCGCTTCCAGAATGTCCATTGCCAAAAGCAGATAAAGATCATGACCCTCCCCTACCACCTAGGCACAAGTTTGTGAAACTACACATACCAGAGTTTAAGAATGATTGTGCAGAAAGCCATACCGCATCTTTTCTGAGGATTAGTAGTACCACTGTGGCATGGACACAAAAATCTATGCATGCCTCCTGTACATGTAAATGAAAACAGTACAGATCCTCGTTGTGAGTCCAGTCCTGCTCCCTCTTATGTATATCATCTTCACCCAAGCAGAGAAAGTTCAGCAATTATCCCTGAGTGAGCAAAACCATAAGGTTCATATGCATTCCTTAAACCCAATGAGAAACAGTGCTCTGCAGTGGTTACCACACAAGGACTCAGCTGACTCAAAACCTGTATTTGACTTTTCTGCAGATAGATTGTGTGATCTTGAGTACCCAGTTTCTCTGCAGGTTCTGAAAATGGAGGGCATGGATGCCAACTACACACTGAGATGCATAGGAGCTGAGCGTTACAGCTGTTTGTCTGCAGAACACAAACCTTAATCACTGATTGCCATGGCTGTAACCACACTTCCCTGCGAGCGCTGACTTTCATTAGCACGGCATGGAATTACAGTCAGTGTCTGGGTGTGAAAGTCCCATAAGAACCATACGTTTCTGTAACTTATAGGCTGTGCCAAAAGAGAAGAATTTGTTGGAAGAAGAAGAAGAATCTCTTATAAATGATAATTCTTCATTTCTTCTTACTGCAACTAATATTCAGCATTGCTTGCCAGTCATTTCAGAGCACCACATTTCTCAAAATGAAGTTACATCATAAAAGTCTGGTGAGGTGCAGCTCATTAGTGCAAGGTATCCTATTTTGTGTGACAGAGAACTAGCTATTAGACCTTGCAACATGCGTTGATTATTTATTTAACTTGACATTAAAGTATTTAGTGAATAAGCAAAAACTAAAATGTTGCATAGTATCTTAGCATCAGCTGTCACGTAAATTAGTATTGCTCTGCTCCACAAACACTGCAATCCAGAGCCAAATGTTTCCTTAAGACTAGGTCAGCTGAAGAAATACCTTCTTTAGAAAGAAGGACAGCAGATAATGCTCTCTTTCATCTCCTTCTGCAATTCCAGTCACCTTCTAGCTTACATGGCATGAGAAAGTGCTTTTGAGAAAGGCTGCTGCAATATAAGAAATGAACACTGGGAGTCTTGGAATTGCTTAAAAGTGAAATAAAAATGTAGCTATCAAATTCCTCAAAGCCACAGGCTTCAGCTTGGGGCTGTTTGAAAGCCCACTAAAATTAATATGAATTTACTGGTTTGCTTTAAGAGCTGCCTTTGATAGCCATTGTATGTGTAATATGAGCACAACAACATTTTGGATTCAGTGGGATATACCCATTTCTCTCACTAGTTCCAGGGGAGCATCAAGGATACTGCGTGATGAATGCACTTCACTTAGCTGCAATTCTATTGTCTCTCCATTTCTGTAGTGGATCATGCAGCAAAAGCTGGTTTCCATGATGAGGAGAACAATTCAAAATGAGTAGAGAATAAGAGCGAAACAACTGTTATTAAATTCAATGTATATTTATAAGGCTATTGTTTCTATCTGGTCCCTTGAATATTCTGGCTCAGCAGACACCCCCAACATGTCATCAGTCTGACTTTTCAGCAGTCCAAACAGAGGACATCACCATTGATGTAATTGGGTAATGTCACATATTTGTTCTTGGGCAGGGTACTATATAGATTTATGATACGACTGTATGTTTTACTGGTTTATTACTAAAAAAGACATTAATCACCGTGACAGACATGAAGCAGTACTATTCACACCCTCTGAACGGAGACATCAAGTAGACCCATTGCTAATTAGGATGATGACAGCCAGGAATTACATTTAAAAGCCTCTGTTTATTCCCCATTTCTTGTAACTATTCCTCTCTTCCATCCTTTTCGTTCTTCACAAATCTGCTAGTAAAACATTAGGCAGCCCCTTGTGTGACTCTGCTAAACAGTTCCTTGTTAGCAGACACATAATAACGATGATAAACGATGGACAAGAAAGCAGGCACAAAGCTATTAGGGCCTGGCTGTACACCCTCCACTTACACACAGCATTCATCTAGCACTAGCTTGCTTTCCTACACCAGGAAAACAAAATGATGCAGAGCAGAAAATGGAAATCATACATGATGTAATAGTGACCTGTGCGATGCCTTGGAAGTGCTTAAACAGACATTAGCATTTTCTTTGAAAAAAAAAAAAAAAAAAAAAAAACAGGAAAAAAAACACCGACAACATGACTTCATGCTATCCTGACATATGAATGTCTGCTTACTTTCTTCAGGCCTTTTCAGAAGACATTAACACTCTGTATTACTTCACATGCCACACAGGCTTTAATGCCTGTCTGAGAAGACGCATCGATACTGTCCTGCACACAGCCATGCAGCCAGCAGGTTCTGGGGAGGATGGACTGAACACTGTGAAACGTTATTTCTTTTAAGTTCTGTTTTTTAAACTTCTAAAAAACAGACTAGACTACCAGTGAATTCTTGCTTGTGTAGAAGGAAAATTTAAAAAATGGAAAAGACAAAATAACTCAACGTGCTTCCACAGTGATTTGTCTTGGGAACTTAGCATAATCTTGTGTAAGAAACTTGACTAGGAGTGTATAAAATGACTTTGGGTGATTGATATTTGGCTTGCTGAATGAAGTA